TTATATGCAATTTAAGACAAGGTAACCAATAAACTGTGCCATGACAATGCAATTAAATAAGACAACAAACTGTACAAAACATTTAGGTACTTCAGGTACCCAAGCTCCTCTTTTCCAGTTCATTCCCATTAAGAGTCAATAGTCCTTTTCCAAAAACCTGGCTGGGGGCTCCCACTGCCTCTTTTAACAGAAAGGTTCCCTGTCTTCAGAAGGCGGGGGGACAGGGACTGAGGGCTTCATAGAAAGGTCCCTCTATATTACTTTGTCCCCCCAAAACATTGCCAAGTGCATGGTGGTGAAGCTGCTGCAGTCCAAAACAAAAGCGGGACAGTGTGTTAACACAGCATAAGCTACAGTGGCCTAAAACACCTTGACATGGTGTCTTAGTTATCTAGTGCTGCTATAACAGAAATGTCACAAGTGGATGGCTTTAATAAACAAATTTATTTTCTCACAGCTTAGAAGGCTAGCAATCTGAATTCAGAGCGCCAGCTCTAGATGAAGGCTTTCTGTCTGTGTTGGCTCTGGAGGAAGGTCCTTGTCTCTTCAGCTTTTGCTTCCTGGTTCTTTGGAGATTTCCATGTGTCTTGGCATGTATCTTACCCCATCTCTGCTCTGCTCGCTTGTTTAATCTCTTTTGTCTCAGAAGAGATTGACTCATTAATCCTTCCTCATTAAAATAACAAAAACAATCCATTCCAAAATAGGATTATAACCACAGGCATAGAGGTCAGGATTTACAACACTATTTTGGGGGGACATAATTTAATTCATAACATTCTACCACTTGGCCCCTCAAAATTCATGTCCTTGCCACAGAACACATTCACCCCATCACATCATACCAAAAGTCTTAAATCAACTTCAAGTCCAAAAATATCATCTTCTGAATCATCTAAATCAAAGATGGGTGAGACTTTAGGCATATTCCATGCTGGGGCAAAATTCCTCTTCATCTGTGAACCTCGAAATCTTAATGGCAGCCCCACACTCCAGAACTGAGCTGGTGAAGATCGACTGTGAAAGCAAGGAGGCTGTAGCCCCACCCTTTGAGATCCAGGAGACTATGGCCTCACCCTATGAAACCAAGAAGGCCCTGCTTCTTGTGCTCCTTCCAACAGTTCTGCTGATGTCTGAGCTACTTAGGGACGGTCCTTTTCTTTTCCTGGAGGACAAGAGATGTAGATCTTTTGGCCTGTTTCTCTCCTGTAGAATTCCAAGAGGCAGGCAGCATTTTTTCCTTTCATTCTTTCTCTGTCCCCTTTCAGTCTAAGCTGATGGGTTTTCTGCTGTGGTAGTTGGTTAGATTCATCGGTCACAAGCTTAATCTCTTTAATAAAAGATTGTGTAGCCACATCCTTGGTGAACATCCTAGGACACGTGTCCTTAGCTTGTACAACACAATTTTCCAAATCTTTAAGTTCCGTTTTCATTTTGCAGAGTTCATTTTTAAGTCCATCTCTTTCCTCTCACATTTTACGGAAGTGGCAAGGAAAAACCATGTGGCCCCTTTAATATCTTGCTTAGAAGTCTCATAAGCCAGATATCCAAGTTCATCATTTACAAATCCTACCTTCCACCAAACATTCAGACATTATTCAAACAAGTTCTTTGCCACTGTATAAAAATCATCGCTCTTCCTCCATTGTTCAATCATGTTTATCATTTTCATTTAAAGCCACACAAGAAGCACATTTAATGTCCACATTTCTAGCAACACTCTGTTGCTGGTGCCATATGTATTCTCCAAGATGATAGACTTTCTCTACAGCTCTCCTCATTTCCTTCTGAGCCCTCACCAGAATTGCCTTTGATGTCCACAATTCTACCAACCATGTCTTCAAGGCAATCTAGGCTTTTACTATTAGGCACCTTAAAATTCTTCCAGCCTCTACCCATTTCCCAATTCCAAAACTGCTTCCACGTTTCAGGTATCTGTTAGAACAGCACCCCACTCCTGGTACCAAATTCTGTCTTAAGTTACCTAGTGTTGCTGTAACAGAAATACCCTAAGTGGATGGCTTTAACAAATTTATTTTCTCACAGTTTAGGAGACTAGAAGTCTGAATTCAGGGTGCTGGTTCTAGAAGAAGGCTTTATCTCTCTGTTGGCTCTGGAGAAAGGTCCTTCCCTTCAGCTTCTGCTTCCTGGTTCCTTGGAGATCTCCATGTGTCTGGGCATCTATCTTACCCCATCTCTGCTCTGTTCAATTGTTTAATTTCTTTTATATCCTTAAGATAGACTGACTCAAGATATACTTTATATTAATCCTGCCTCATTAACATAACAAACACAACCATTCCCAAATGGGATTATAACCACAGGCAGAGGTTGGGATTTACAGCACATATTTTGGGGGGACATAATCCACAACACATGGTACCCTGGAGAAAGCAGTTATGGTGCATAAGTGGAGAACTTCTGACTGTACCCTATGCATCATCAAGTCTACTTTTCTAGCTTCCTCTCCTTGAGAGCTGCTTTGAAGGAGTTCTGTCATGCTCTGTGTACCTTTTAAGCCTGCTAGGACTCCTTGGCCCATAGCCAGAGGAATAGCTGAAAGCTAGGAATAGAATGGAAGAGCTAATTTTCCAATTCAATGCTACTTTCCATTCCAGTAGCAGACAGTAGCCTTGGGACGGCCCAGGCTCAGAACTTGAAACTAATCTTCTCCTTGTACTACACAACCCTTTCTTTTAGCCACCAAATTGTGCCATGAGATTCTGGGTCTGCTAAGCCAAGATATACCCAACAAATATCAGCCTCACTCTGCCACAAAGCATCTGCTAGACAAGAATGTGCTACATATATATTGCCAATTGATAGAGCAGAGGAAAGGCTGCTCAACCAATGCTGAAAAGGGATGTCCAGGGGTACTAGAAGCCTGAACTCAAAACTTTGGGCTTCAGGCCCAGACAACGCAGGCCCTGGGCTCCTGGACAGCAACCAATGGCCAAACCCTGAAGCTCTTCCAGCCTCAATCATTTCTAAAACTGAAGTTTATAGCAAAATTTCCCCTAATGGTCATCCTCACATTCCCTCTGCTAAACTTCACTTCTGCTTCCCTCAGGCTCATAGATGTCTTTTAAATCTTATTTGAGTTGGGAAAAATCTCCTCCATGTTCCAATTTGTTCTTCAAGTTCAGCTAGTCTCCCTAACCCTTAGTGCTGAAAAGGAGCATGGACATGGCTGGCCTTTATAAAGCTGCTCTCCCATGGGAATCTGGCAGGTGGTAGCCACAGGTTAGCTATGCATTTGAAAAGTCACAACTTGGCCTCCAGAGGAATGCTAGACCCATGTACACACACACTGGCTGCCACTGAAGATTTCTCATTGGGACCTCTGCCACAATTCTCCTCTGAACCACCTTCCCTCAATGCACAGAAATGACAGTACTCTAGCAGTACCAGGGAGGAATGTCAGAACTTAGAATTCTACCACCAGCTCCAGGTACAAAAGTATGGAGCCTCCAAGTTGGGGTGAGAGTGGGAAAAGATAACCGCAATCTGGGTAAGTTTCTGCTTACCTGTAGATTCGGGGAATGCCAAGTCCATCCTGTGCACTCAATATCACTTCTTGATTCCCTCATCTGTATTCATGAACCATAGATTTCTAGCTCATTTCAATTCTATTCACAAATATTGACCCCTTGGTATAGGCTACAGCCCTAAGATGACAAAAATAAATATAAAATGTATTTTTTTGCTATAAGAGTACACAAGCTCCCCAGAGATAGTCATGTAAATAGAGCAATCTGCTAAGTGCTATAGAGTGCACTGGAACACCATCCATGACTCTGGTTAGGAACAAAATTAAGTTTTGTTTATTTTATTCTTTTACAAGTACCTCCTGAAGACAGGAGGCGGCTTGGGGTGGTGGTGATTGTGGTAAACAACTTAGAAGTTAAGAGTCTTGCCCTTATTTAAATTAGGTTTTTCCAACGCTCGTTTTCAAAAACACTGGAGAAGGGAAGCCACGTAGTTACAAGATTCCAGAGAAGATGAAGTGTAGGATGCTAAACTGAGTAGATAAAATAATACCTCCTCCTCTCTGCAGCAGTTTATGCTGTTAATCACTCCCTTCTTGGACCCTATTCCACTCTCCTAATTTTTCTCCCATCTCATTAAATTAGCCAACAAAAATACAAGTTATATAGTAGTGATGGGACTGTCACCTCAAGTTCTGCCTCCTCTCTCCATCTCTTAAATGTTAGTGTTTCCTAGAGTTGTATACTATGCTTCTCTTGTTCTATTCTTTATCTAAGCCATCTTCTTCATCCCTATGGCTTTACTGTTGTTGTTGGGTGCCACTGAGTCTATTTCGACTCATAGTGACCCCATGTGACAGAGTAGAACTGCTGGGTGGGTTAGAACCGCCAACTTTTCAGTAAGTAGCTGATGGCTGAACCACTGCAGTACCAGGGTTCCTATGGCTTTAACTACCATATGTATGAGTATGACTCCCAAATCTTTAACTAAAGCAGAAACCTGGTCTTCAGCCCCTACTCCTCTCGCTCCCATCAGCTATTCATTCCTGTTAATTAGCTCTCCTCAGTATCTCTCAAATCTGCCCTTTCCTCTCCATCCTCATTGCTATTGCCTTGTTCCAGGCCTTCATCATCTCTCTCCTTTACCAGAGGACTATTTGGCTACTCATATCCCCCACCAGACTTTAAGCTCCTTAAGGAGAGAGAGAGAGTTTTCCTCATTTTTGAATTGTGCCTGCCCCCTCCTTCTCCACAATACCACTAGACATAGTGTTTTGCATGTTTGTTGAGTGAAGAATAATGGAGGCCCTGTGAAGTACGACTGCATACAAACCAGCTGAACAGCTGTGGCTTCAGTACTCTGAAATTTGTTTTATCCATACTTTCCTCCTTTAGATGTGATGGTTCTGCTCTTAATAACAATCTACTATTCTAACCTAAAACTTATCAGAAATGTAATTAATCCCAACAGTTCTGCTTTGCTGATAGGAAAAAAAAAAAAAGAGACCGCACTTTAGAAATAGAAGCCACCGTTGTCTTTATAAAACACAGAATTGTGCTGCTGCTGTTGCTTGCTTCAGAAGGAACTGTACATTACAGCTGCTGGGGTAATTTCACAACGGACTGGACAAGGTACAGCTCAAAGCAGGACACAAACACGTCTCAAAGGGAAACAAATGCAAACAAGTACACAGCTTTGGGGCTCCAGGGACATCTCCCCATCCATGCTGGACTTGAGAGGGATAAAAAGTTTAGAAACTAAAGTGAAACCCAGAGTAGTCACACATGCCCACCACATGACTGCTAAGTGCAACTTCACACACACCAATCAGGTTGGCTGTGTGCACAGGAAAGTCTTTTCATTTTTCCTTATTGCTACTACACCAGGGGACTCAGTGCGTTTGACACATTGTCTTTACTTGCACAATCCTTGAAGGGTTTCCTATTTCCTTTTTAAAAGAAGGAAATCATCCTTCCCACCCTCATTCTGTTGTGTTTTTTTTTTTTTTAAGCCCATTCCCTCCACTCCCTTTCTTGGGCTCCCAAGCAGCAGCCAGAGGTTCTAAGTCAGTAGGAATAGAGTAAGGGGAAAGCACCAACCCACCCTCTCTCCCTGCCCAGGGAGAAGGCAAGTCCTAATAAGTGGGGGGAAAGAGAAAACCACAGAAGCTCTTTTCCCTAATCTGCTTAGAAGGCCAAATATGAACTACTGCCCTGCATATCCCTGCCATGATCAAACTTTAAGGAAGGCATCCCAGCTACCATCCTGAATTGGTGGCCTAAGCCCAGTAAATAAATAAAAATAACCTCCCTCTGATGCAGTTCCCAAAACTGCCTTTTGACTAAACTGAGTTAACTTTTCTACCCTAATGGGGAAGGAACTTCCATCCTTCTTCGTTCCACATGGTACCAGGTCTAGACCATTGTTCCACTAGCCTTGCAGATATCACATGGGCCAAAAAAAGAGTCAGAGAAACTCCCTGGCTGCCCATCTTGGGTGCTGGCTTCATTCACAGAATTCTGGACAGAAAAAGAAAACTATCCAAGAACATTGTTCCTTAGCCAAAGCAGAGGCCAACAGAGGAGCTATGTAGTAGGTGGGAACCAGGAACTTTTTAAGGGAGATTTCATACTTCCAAGTATCTTACTCTTCAGCCTAAATTGAAGAATTTATCCTAAGCCTTAAGTTCCCAGCAACAACAGCCCCGGGCTTATCCCCAGAGGCCAGCGATAGCACCTCAATCCCTAATGTGACCCGCCGGCCTGTAAGAAGGATAAAAGAGTAGAGCTCTCCTTTTCCACATTTTATCCAAATTCTCTCCCTTCTCTTCTCATCACTCTCTTCTTCCCCCACAGCCAATCCAACCTCTCCAATCCTGGATACCCGAGTAGCTCAACCCTAGGACATCCTCAGAAAAGGGAGGCCCCAGGTACAGAGAAAAGGAGTCAGATCTAGAAAAAGTAATGAGGATAAACCAGCCCCAAGGAGTGGACAGGTGTGAAAGCTGCCAGAAGCCCTCTTGATTTCATGCCAGTTGGGCAGGACTGTTGCTCTAGTATAAGCCTGAGGGCTGCCCAGCCCAGGTAGGACACTAGGCTTGGGGAATAAGTTCTTGGTCTTCTGTAGCCAAGGAGCTAAGATGATCTTGCTAGTAAACGGTGGGATCATTGCGGCCATGCAGAAAATTCATCGTCACATAGGCAGGCAGGCAGGCCGGCAAGATAGCTGAATGAATCAGGAAAAGGAAGTCAAGAGAAGAGAGGAGAGGAAAAGGAAGGCAAAATAGTGGAATGAAGGAAGCAAAAAAACCTGTCTAAAAGGATGAGGCTGAGGTCCCCCCACCCCAGAGTCTCCTCAGAGCTTGGGTAAGAAGCACTGCTTAAACCAAATTTAAGCAAGTCAAAGCTTGCTGCCAACACCACTTCTCAACCTGTGTGCGACACCTTTCAAACAAGAATAATCCTCAAGGTCAAGGGTATTTTTCAAGTCTCAAATATTAAAAAAATGCAACCAAGAAGTCATTTTCTCGCCATTGCCCAAGCTGCTCCTCTTGCTATTATTTCTTGAATGGCATGTGCAACGCCAAAAGGGCTAAAAAAGCATTTCAAGCCCCAGTTCAAAACCTGACTGGAGAGAGCGAGGCAGAGAGAGAAAAGGAGAGAACACAAACTTGTTGCTGGGAATAGGTGGCTGCCACCTGCTCCCTATGGACATTTGCAAATGCTGGTAAATGACTGGACCCTCCAGGACAGTGCCCTGATCCCAGCCTCAAAATGCACCCAAGAGAACATGCAGAGCCAATTCTCCTAGGAGAGCTCCCCTCCCTCCAAGGGTGACTGAACATGATGTAGACAGGATATGAAGGCAAAGGACAGGGCAGATGGAGTGTTGGCATCACTCTCTTTAGGCACTTGTGTAAGGAATGTAGGCTCTCCAGTGAGCTGCCTCCTCCCAGAGCCTTCCATTCTGTTCTTCAGCTGGGCTTGTGCCTATGGGGCAGCCCATGTTGTAGCCAGCAGGAAAGAAGTAAAGGAGGAGTTGCTCAACAGTCCTGATGCCTTCTTCATAATGAATGTTTGTGCTACGTTTTGTGAAGTCGCTGAACAATGTAGCCATCCAGAACAGAATCTGGGATAGACTATTTTGCATAGCAAATCTGGGTCTGTACAAGGGCTGCTGGGGACGGGAAAGGGTAGCTCTAACAGCACAGGCCAGGATTCAGACCAGTCTTCCTCCAGCTGGCCTCCAAGCCTGGGCTAGGTCTAAAGTGTCATGGCTTCATCACCAGATTGGGGCAAACCCAAGCCCAGGCTCCTCAAAAAGAGAAATATCCACATTGTAGCTGCCACTCCCTATCCCGGGCAGTGGGGTAGTAAAAATGAACAGTCAAGGAAAGAGGGGGACTTGCCTCTAGGCCAGCAGGCACCAAGCTAAAACCCCCTACCATTACATTACAGTCTTGTAAAAGAGCCAAGCCCCATCTCTGCCCAGGGAGACTATTAAAAAAATACAACACATCATGCCACCCACTCACATGCCCTAGTGGGAAACCAGGAAAAATTCATTTGTGTAAACAGAAGCTATAGGAGCAGCAAAATCTCCCAGTGCATCCATAGGACACACTGGAATCAGAGATGAGCCAAAGTGTCAGAGGACAGTCGAAAGGAAGGGATGCACTTGCATGGAAGACTGTAGAACAGTGCCGAGGCGGGAGCCTGTAGCAAGAAAAAGGTATCATCTGTACAGAGGAAGGATGGAGCCTGAGCCCCACCTTGGGGAGAAAACCACCCCCTACCTAGCCAGGCCAGAGAACAAGTCAGGTACACAGTTCCTTCTGATGGCTCAGTGTTTCTGGGATGTAAACTCAGTGGGCATGGGAGGGATTTCCAGATTTTGGCAATAGACTCGAGTTATGATATAAAAATAACATTTAGTTTTCTTTTTTCTTATCTTAAGCCTAAGGATCTTTCTTGTAAAATACCCTAGTTAAGAAATATTGAAACATAAGAGACGTGACCATCAGAAAAAAAAGAAGCCAAGAGAGAGATATGCTATGAAAGTAACTCCAGACCCGGCCAGGGTGGGAAGTAGGGGGGATAGGGAAAGAAAGAGACATAAATGGAAAGGCCGGGGGCCAGTCATCTCAGCAGCTCTGAAACCTGTCATGTCTGAAAGTGCAAATATCAATGGATTTTAACCATCTTGAGGTTGTGATCTTTTTAAAAGCTTAATGAATGTGGAAGTCAATTCCTTCAAATGCAAAATAGCTGGCATTCTGGCAGGAGGCTCAAGTTAGGGATATTTCTTCCCCACCTACCTCCTCTCCCACCCCTACCCTATCCCCCAAAAGAAAGGTACAAAACGTTGCAGTTCTGCAGCATTACCGTTACAGGGAAGGCACTGGTTACCCACCAGCAGGCGGAAGGAAGACAGGGTCATGTCACTTCAGAGCTAAGTGCCATAGTGCCTTAAGTCTTATTAGCGGCTGGATGTCTGTCAGGGAGGAGGTGTAAGGTGGGATAGTAAGGGTGGAAAGATAGGAATAAGGGCAAGGGGATGGCAGCTAGGGGAGGAGCAACCAAAACCATTAGCAATAAAAATCTTCCTCCAAACTGGATTCTGAACCCATTAAAACATCTAGTATCCTAAAATATTGATCTGGGTCTGCTTGCTTTCTTTTTTTTTTTTTTTTTTTTCTTAAACAAATCTAGACCGTTTCTGATTAAGGCTCCTAAAAAATTCCTTCCCTCCTCCCACCCACTTTCCCAAGCCCCTCACTTTCCCATCTAAAGTATCAAACCCAAACCTACCAGCTTTTGTCCGCAGGGCTGAAGAGCCGACCTTACCAAGCTGTCAGGCATGAGTCTTTAGCACTGTGAGTCACATGAGACACCTGTGTGTATGGTGGTTACTGGTGCTGCCCCTCTTGGTCCAGTGGAGTCAGGGCCAGATGTGACAAGATGGGGTGAACGGTGGGGGACATGAGGTGGATATCAGATTTCTGGCTGGTGGTCTGGCTTGCCGGCCCTGTTCCCCACCCTTCCACACACTCTATAGAAGGAAACAAGGCCTTCTACATTCCTTCCTACCCCACCTCCCTCCTCCCTGCTCCCTCTGGATTCGGGTGGCACAGCTCCTAGGGCTTGAAAAGCTTTCTTCTATCCAGTGAGGTAACAGCATTCTGCCTTCAAGCAAAGTACATGGTGCGCAGAGTATCCTGGTGAACCTGAACGGCTTTGGCCAGGGCCTGGGGGTCCCGTCCATTGCTCTGCCCAGATATGTGGCTCCCCTCTCCACTGAAAAATAAAAATGAAAGAAGGCCTTCCTGGTGAACTGAGCTGCTGTTAATCTCCTCACCTATCCCTGGGGAGCCAACTCCCATACCAATTTAAGAGAAAACCCCAATCTAGTTTCCAGCAAATGAGCCCAAGGACACCATATTGGACAACATCATTTCCTTCTACCCAAGAGAAGTTGAGAGGGTCTGGTACAAGTGACTACAGCAAAAAGAAAATCAGCCTGACCCTAGGCCTCACCTGTCGTGCTCCTTGTCTACCAGGTGGTATCGTGCCCGGAAAGCCACCAGGCGGGCATAGTACGCAGGTGCTGGGATAGAAACAGAGCGTGTGCACCGTACATAAGTGTGGCACAGCTGGTACGTCAAGATCTGGAGCTCATCCGCTGTGAAACGGTTGTCATCCCAAAGGACATAGTAATGGGATGGTCGGCTGGTACCCTGGGAAGATAGGAAGGTGAGGGGCCCAAGGTTTGGCAGAGGATGGCTGACACTAAGGAACACCATCACTGTCAAGAGTATTGCTATGATGGATGACCCACGCATGAACAAGCTGACACAAACCTGCATATATCATAAAGCACTCTTCTTATGGGCAACCTGCCCAAGGTGTTCCAAGTGCACTTCTGTTCAAGGTGCGCTCAGAGCAATCCTGATTTGAACACCACTCAGTAATGGCCGATATATTCCAGAGGCAGTGGCAATAATCAACTAATCTTTGACCCACTGGAAACACCAGAACATAGCCCAGCTACCTGGATGCCTGCATGGCTGCAAAGGTAGAAGTCAAATTCAAATGGGTGGGTGATGTTGGTGTCCACAGTGGTCCCAGCAGGGATGTTACCACTCTTCCCAATCTGTAGAAAAACAAACACAACCAAGATCCCAAGACCTGCCTGGCCCTAACTAGGGCCCCAATTCAATTCTATTCTGACTCTACCAGAATCCCAACAGGAAAGTGGAAGCTGCTGTTCCCAGAGGGTATAGGGTATTACAATAATGGGCTTCTAAATTTAAAGAGACCTGTGTTCAAGTCCTTATTTTTTCCGGTGATTAGATGTATGGTCTTAGTAAATTATTTAAACTCTCTGAGCTTAAACTGGAGATAATAATAGTACCTACCTCACAGGGCTGCTGTGAGGAAGGTGCCTTGTACAGTATCTGGCACATAGCAGAAGTTCAATAAATGGTAGTTCCCTTTCCCTTATCTGGGAGCTGGTCTATATATGGGCTTCTAGGCCAGGGAGCTAGGAGGAGGGGGAGGAAGTATAAGGGAAGGAGTGGAAGAGGGGAAAACTAAGTGAGAGGGGTGCTAGAGGAAGGACCACAAGGGAAAGAAGGGGCCAGGCAGGATGGATAGGCTAAGAACTAAATACTCAGATTTTATCTCAAGGGCTTCTTCCCTACCAAGAGCAGGGACACAGGATGCAGGTATGGGTGACCTCCTCAATCCCTAACTCACTCGCTCATTCTTGTCAGCACAAAAAAGGCGTGTGTGATGGCGTTTCTGCACCACAATATAAGTGATCCCAGGCTGGTAGTCCTTTTCCAGTTTGATGCAGGCATCACGGATGGCCAGCAGCTCATAGTGGAGAATCTAAGCACAGGGGGAGGAGGGAGACAAAGAGATACACAGCTCCTCTTGAGTTCATACACCTTTCTGAACTAAGGGACTGCCACTTATAATATAGCTTTTTGCTCAGCCTCCCTTTATAAGCTGATGCCCAACCACTGGGGATGCCAAACTCCTCTAGTCAAAATCAGCCTGACATGTTCCTATAAAACCCTGACTGGGAGGCTTGGCATCAGCACAGAGCACTTACCTGGTTCCTATGCATAAAGAGATCTAATGTCAAGGTTCACAGAGAAATTACTAAAATCAATGCCCCGAACTATGTCCATTTCAGGATTAAGAGGACAATGGGAATTCCCCCTGTGAGCTCCAAGAGCAGGCAGGGTTTGGATCACCAGAGAAGAGCGGACAAATAGGTCAGGAACGGGTACAGAGGTAGTAGATGAATTCAGTCCTACCAGGAAGCAGGATTATAAGAAAAGGGACTAGCTAAAGAAGAAGCCACAGGTAAATAACAACAGGCAATAGTTCTATGGCCTAGGATGTTAGATACAGAGAGGCAAAATTGTATGGTAGAAAAGGATAGAATTTGGAATCAAAGCTAGATTTAAGTCTAAATTTTATCTAGTTGTATTACCCTGATACCTAATACCCTGTAATAATTTATTAGCCCCCTAGGTTTCATTTTCTCCGTATCTATTAATATTACTAATAACACCTGCCTCACAAAGCTGTTGTGAAGACTGACAGACTATTGCATAAAATCATACAAAACCTAGTAGGGGCTTAATAATGCTGATTGCTCTGCTGAAAAGTTTGAGCTTTAACCCAAGGCTATGTGAAGCTATTAGACATATCTTAACAGAGAAGTGATATGATAAATTTATTTCATAGGAAACACTAGATGACTTGAAGAAAACAGCATAATGGTCAAGATCATGGACTTTGGAATCAGATCAATTTGTCTGAGTCCCAACTCCACCATTTATTAGCTTGGGTGACACAGAAGAAATAATTTAACATTTCCAAGTCTCAGTTTCCTCATCTGTCAAATGGAAATAATTACCATAATTATTATTTCATAGAGCTATGGAAAGCACTGAATAGAACATATATGAAGAGCTTAGTGCAGTTCATGGCCCATAAGAGGTGCTCAATGAATGGCAGTAGCTATTACTACTATTAAACGGTAGTCAAGGAAACCAGTTCAGTCTAAACAACAGAATATGAAGGCTTGGCAGTGAGAATGAATGGGGGAATATTATGAACGAATGTCTAAAGCAATGGTTCTCAAAGTGTGGTCTCCGAATCAACAGCATCACCTAGAAACTTATCAGGAATGCAAACTGTAGGGTCCCACCTTAGATCCACTGAAACTCAAACCCCAAACCCATTGCCACTGAGTCGATTCCAACTAACAGTGACCCTAGAGGACAGAGTAGAACTGCCTCATAGGGTTTCCAAGGATGTAAATCTCTATGGAAGCAGACTGCCACATCTTTCTCCTGTGGAGTAGCTGGTCGGTTTGAACTGCCAACTTTCTGGTTGGCGGCTGAGCGCTTAACCACTGAACCACCAGGGCTCCTTACTCTAAGGCTAGAGCCCTGCAAACTATTTTAATAAGCCCTCTCCAGGTGATCCTAATGTACACTAAAGTTTGAGAACCACTGGTCTACAGAATTAGTCTTCAACATGAATAAACTAGTAAATAAGCACTGAGGGTCTGCTGTTACAAGGAGAAAGGTCTATAGACGCTTGTACACTCCATTCCTCAGTTGTCACTCCTGCCTCCACATGTACCCATTTAACAAAGCTCCCTGAAGGAGGAGCACCACCCAGTGCCAATAGCTTAGAAAAGGTAGCAGCACCTAGCCCTCTAGCCTCAGCGTGAGGGTTTTCTCCATCTACTGTGGGCCCTACCTGGGGGAGCTGGCCTTCAGGGACCCCATCTCGATAGAAGATGATGCGGGTAGGCTTGAAGCGAGTGGACTTGTAGAACTGGATGAGCAGCTCACGCACCATGTAGGACAAGTCTTCAATGATCTCCTGTCGCGGTCGCTGCACCCGCACGGTAGCACAGTAACGGCTGGGGTGGGCATCCATGCTGCCTACCACCTGTCAATCAAAGAGGTGGGATCAGCCACCAGAACCTCCACCGGCCCACACGTCAGGCTGTGGGTCTGGAGGAAGGCTTCTTCACAAGACAACAACTGTGCAACTGAATGAGTAGGGCTTGGGATTCAATGAGCCCTGGGTTTCAATCTCTGTCTATCACTCATGCAGAAGTTATTTAATTCATCTGATCTTGTTTCCTTCTCTCAAAAGGAGACAAGAATACCTGTTTGCAGTGTTGTGTTGTGATATACATAAAGCACCTTGCACAGGGCCTAGCCCACAGTAAGTACCTGATAAATTTGATTTCCCTACCACTTGCGGAGGGGCATGTGATGATTTGGCATTACTAACTTAAGAGTAACCTCACCCAGCCACAAGTTTGTCTTTATTTCCATGCAAGTGCGAATCTATCCAGGAACCATGGTGAGAGTGCTCTTGGAGTTGGTGGGGGCAACGTCATTTTCAAAGGAGACAGTGGCCAAAATACAGAATGGACAGCCACAAGGATAAGATGGATATGCATGGCATAGGGTTTCCCTGCACTTACTGAGGCAAGACAAGTCTGCCTAGAGACATGTAACGGTTGAGGAGAAAGAAGTGGGAAAGAAGGCTTGATCCTTAGCAATCTGGAAGCCCTAAGGGAACAGAGAAGGAGAGATATCTACTAGATGGATCAGGGTAGGGAGTGGGATGGAGGCAGAAGAGGAAGAACAGTCCCAGCAACTACGTAACTTTCTTGAAAGGGATTTCAGTGAAGAGCTACAGTCACCCTACTATATCCCAAATGTAGGCATGGAGAGAGAGAGACTCAAACATAGAGCAAGAGTGATAGAGACTGGGGCAAGTTACTGGCCACAGCCTACACTCTCACTCATATCCCCTCAAAAAGATACCTTACAACTAGTTCTGACAAGATACCAAGGGTGTGGGTAATGGGGATGGTTAGCTAGTATCTTATGAAGGGTCAAGAGTCAGAACTGAGGGAAGGAAATCATGTGTGGCCTTGGGGACTCAGAGTAAAGAAGAGAACCTTATGAGATAAGTTAGAGAGTATCACTCACTGCTGTGATAGAGGGTTTCTTCCCATCTCCTGCAGGGGGATGTGTAACATCTGCTCCCAGGAATATCACTGGCTGCTGAAAGACGGCAGAGCTGAGCAAGGAAGAGAAAACAAATGGTGAGGAGTTGGGTCTTCTCTTCCTGGCACCATCCTAACACCCACTTTGGTCCCTTCCCCCTTGTCTCTGATTCTCTCTGTGTGGTAAGGGTCCTATATCTTCATCAATACCCAGCATGATACCAGCCCCCAGCATGTACCTTGACAAGAACAAGTGGGCAAAAGAGTTTCATACCGCTGGTGTGGAACTAGGATGTTGTTAATGCCACCAAGTTTGACATTGATCTTGAGGCAGAGGTTGGACAGAGTCTGAGGTGAGGTCTTAACCACATTCTTCACTTGCACACACTGTGTAGCCATTCCTAAGAGTGTATCTCCAACACGTTTCACCTCAGCTATGGGTAGAGTAGGGAGAGAACTGATTATTGCATTCAACAAACACTCACTGGATGCTTAGATGCCAGGCATCATACAAGGTGCCAGGAACACAATGGTGACCAGAAACACACAGGGTCCCTACTCTTATGGTGCTTACTCTCTAGTAACTAATTTTAAAAATGATGAAAATAACAAGGATGAATACTATGAAAGGAAACTTCATGGAGCTATGAGAATATATAATAAGGGGTAATAACCTTATCAGGAAAGGATTCTTAAGTAAATAAAGACCAAACTAAAATCTGATGGCAGTAAAGGACTTGAAAAAGGGGAGGAATTTAGGAGACAGCATTCCAGGCAGAGAGAACAGCATGCCAAAAATGCACTCTGCTAGCAGGCAGCAAGATACATTTGAGAAACTGAAAGGTCAGAGTGGTTAAAAAGGATAACAAGGGGACCATGGTGTGAGAGAAAGAATATGGTCACTAAGCTTACCTGTGGATATGAGGGTAACTTAAGAATGCAGTCTTAGACATGGAGAGAAGCAAATGGATTGAAGAGATAATGAAGGGATTCAGTTATGGTCTGGATATGCAAATAAGGGAAAATAAGTTTTACGAATAACTTCTGAGTTTCTAGCTTTTGTCATAGGATAGAAAAATCATAAATTCTTTTTGAGATATTTTGAGTTTGGAGTGCTTTTTGGTATTCCCAGTTAGGATATCAACTAGGCAACTGGGGATAGTAGTCACAAGCTCAAAAGAATAGTCTGAAATGGAGATGTAAATCTGTGAGCTATTGAGTACAGGTAGTAATTGAAGAAGACATAGTCTTAGAAGAGATCATCAAGGAGAGAAGAGAGTGGAAGGAGAAGAGGGCTTAGATCTAAATCTTGAGGAACTCCTAATATTTGCACAGCTGGAAGAAGATGAATCTGCAAAGGAGAAAAATCCACGGTTAGAAGGAAGACCAAGACAATGCTGATCATGAATATCAAGGGAATAAAGAGAGTGTTTTAAGAAGGAGCAAGTGTTCAACAAAGTCATATGCTGTTAAGAGGTCAGATAAAATGAGGACAGAAATGTATTGAGGATTTAGTGATATAGAGGTAAAAACTGTTTAAGTGATGCCAAGTATCAAGGAGGAGATTTGGGATCAATGAAGGCTTTGGTATGTTTTCAAAGTAAGATATGAGCATATTTAAAAAACTAAAGGAAAATAGCATTGATTAAGGGTGGGGTTGCAAAACCGATTATTACGATTGCTGTTAATAAGTTGTACACCTGTAACAAGTTGAATTGGCGAAAGTTGTGCGATAGATACATTTACAACAACAACAACAAAAAAAAAGAGTAGCTGCTGAGGCAGCTTATGTACAACCAAATACCTCATGGGATTTTATCCCTTGATTTGGAAGTTTAGGGTCATGGATTCATGGGACATCTCAGATAATTGGCCTAATAACATGTTTAGTGCTTCTGTTCTACCTCCTAGTTCGTTGTGTAGTACCTGGGCTCTTAAAAGCTTACAAGAGGCCATCTAAGGCACAACAATCGGTCTCTGTTCACCTGGAGCAACAGAGAAGGAGAGGCAGGAATACAAGTAGGATATGGAATATGTGGTTAACTGCCTCCATGAACGACTGCTTTCCAGATTCCTCCATGTTATGTTTCACAGATTCATTGTTGTTCTTTATTGTTGCATAGTATTCCATTGTGTGAATATACCATAATTTGTTTATCCATTCTTCCACTGATGGGCACCTGTTTCCATCTTTTTGCTATTGTGAACAGTGCTGCAATGAACACGGGTGTGCACATATCTACTCATGTGACGGCTCTTATTTCTCTAGGATGTATTCCAAGGAGCGGGATAGCTGGATCCTATGGTACTTCTATTTCTAGCTTTTTAAGGAAGCACCAAATAGATTTCCAAAGTGGTTGTACCATTTTACATTCCCACCAACAGTGTATAAGTGTTCTAGTCTCTCCACAACCTCTCCAGCATTTATTATTTTGTG